TATCTATAATTGGTTTCTCCAGTGATCATAGTCATTATGTGATGACATTTCCCTGATGACATAGAATCAGTAATGATCAAAGAGTCAGGCTGCGTGTTATGAGGTAACTTTAGTGCCAGTGGGAGGGCAAACAATCTCCTTTGTAATGTGAAAGCTCAGCTCTTAAATGTTTTTGCCTAATTCAGCGTGGTTGTTCTAATTCTTACCTAGAGAAGTTGCAACAAGAACAGAAGCACCACCGCCACTGGACTCTTGCTCACATCTATCAGTATATGCAATATATGTTATCTTACTAAGTTACATTGTACTAACAGATACATTAAAGCCTGGGCACAGATATATATATATATATATATATATATATATATATATATATATATATATATATATATATATATATATATATATGTGTGTGTGTGTACTCACCTGTATGTGGTTGCATGGGTCTAGTTACAGCTTCTCTGTGTGTGTGATTGTGTGCGCGCGCTTGTGAGGACGGGGCTCTCAGTGTAAATATTTAAGGCTCTCAGTGTACATGCACAAGGTAGAGAGTGCACACAACAACATAATTGTTGTGACACTAGACTATTATATTGATAATGACTCATCAAGCAACAAGAAGTCTTCCCATTAAGCCGCCAACACCGCCCCCTCCCCCCTCCCCCCTCCCCACCTTTCCCAGGATCCCACCCTCATTATTTATTCACTCTTAAATTCAGTTTTGTCTTTTTATCCAATACATTTCTTCTTCGTATTCCTCTTCTTTTTTTTTTTTTTACTTTATTTGATATGTAATGTTTGTTTTTTATTATACGTTTTTTTTCCCCGAATATTAGAAGGGTAGTGATAAGTGTCAGGTTGAGGAGGGAGTGTTGTAGGCAGGACACAAACTATCCCAGCGCATCCGTCACCGTCGACCATCCTGAACGAATATGTAATTGTATGGCCCCACTCTAAGTACACTTGACCCAGACGAGGCAGGGAAGGCCACGAGAAATTGTTTATCGTGTAGGGGGAAAAATGCATAATTCTTTTTCATTTCTTTCTTGTATTTCATGGATATTTTAGTTTTACGACTTACTCGCCGCGAGTTCAATCACCGCCCGGACCGTGGTTTATGGTATTTGTCTTCAGTATGTTAGGGAATAATTCAGTATTGCTAAAACACATCTATATGTTATTGTAGCTCCATAGATTTATAGTCTGGCTATATTATAATTATTATAGTCATAGGGAAGCGTTAAACCCATAGGGGTTATACAGTACGTTGGTGGTGGGAGGTAATCAAATTTTCAGTTGAGGAGGGGGGAGTGTAGCTCCAATTCCTTGGATGAAGAGCCCTTCGCCGGCATTAAAACACCCTCTTGAAAGTAGACTACATACGTGCAGCTCTAACTCTGCTTCCTGCAGTTCAAGTCCCGTCAAGGAGGTGAATAAGACACTTGCACAACATTGCTACCTCTATTTCCGAAACATTTCGCCTGCGCAGCAGGCTTCTTCAGTCGAATACAGAGATGTTAGGTAAATGGGCACAGATGCTGCTAATGTGACATTTTATTGTGGTAACGTTTCGCTCACCAGGAGCCTCGTCAAGCCGTTATGAAACGTTGCCTCAATAAAATGTCACATTAGTTGCATCTGTTTCCATTTACCTAACTTTTTGACGGTAATTCTACCATTATTACGAATACAGAGATGATTAATAAACTGGACACAGTTGAAGAAGAAACTGTGTTGTGAAACAGAGGTAATTTTGTGTTTCCTTGTCTCATTAAAGACCGTTCAGTAGCTGTCACTAAAATATGGATTTCCGCAGTGAAACCCCTCGAGAGAATTAAAATGTTTTGGATCACAATCTCCGCTGTTTGTTATGATTATTGACCTCCTGTCAAAATCATTAATTTCATAAGTATTCATTAGACACACACACACATGCGATGTAGTGGAGGCAGAATCCATACATAGCTTTAAGCAGAGGTATGATAAAGCTCACGGTTCAGGGAGAGTGACCTAGTAGCGACCAGTGAAGAGGCGGGGCCAGGAGCTTGGACTCGACCCCTGCAACCTCAACTAGGTGAGCACACACACACACACACACACACACACACACACACACACACACACACACACACACACACACACACACACACACACACACACACACACGGGATGTTCCAGAGATGGGACACAGACACAAGAGGTCACAATTGGAAGTTGAAGACTCAGATGAATCAAAGGGATGTTAGGAAGTATTTCTTCAGTCATAGAGTAGTCAGGCCATGGAATAGCCTAGAAAGGGATGTAGTGGAGGCAGGAACCATACATAGTTTTAAGGCGAGGTATGATAGAGCTCATGGGGCAGGGAGAGAAAGGACCTAGTAGCAATCAGCGAAGAGGCGGGGCCAGGAGCTGTGACTCGACCCCTGCAACCACAAATAGGTGAGTACACTGTTCTTGATATATGTGAACGACAACGGAAGGGATAGACGCTGAAGTGTCCTTGTTTGCAGATGATGCGAAGTTAATGAGAAGAATCAAATCGGATGAGGATCAGGCAGGACTACAAAGAGACCTGGACAGGCTACAAGCCTGGTCCAGCAACTGGCTCCTTGAATTTAACCCTGCCAAATCCAAAGTCATGAAGATTGGGGAAGGGCAAAGAAGACCGCAGACACAATATAGTTTAGATGGCCAAAGACTGCAAACCTCACTCAAGGAAAAAGATCTGGGGGTGAGTATAACACCGAGCATATCTCCTGAGGCGCACATCAATCAGATAACTGCTGCAGCATACGGGCGCCTGGCAAACCTACGGATAGCGTTCCGATACCTCAGTAAGGATTCGCTCAAGACTCTGTATACCATTTACGTCAGGCCCATACTGGAGTATGCAGCACCAGTTTGGAATCCACACCTAGTCAAGCACGTCAAGAAATTAGAGAAAGTGCAAAGGTTTGCAACAAGACTAGTCCCAGAGCTACGGGGATTGTCCTACGAAGGAAGGTTGAGGGAAAGCGGCCTGACGACACTAGAGGACAGGAGGGTCAGGGGAGACATGATAACGACATATAAAATACTGCGTGGAATAGACAAGGTGGACAAAGACGGGATGTTCCAGAGAAGGGACACAGACACAAGAGGTCACAATTGGAAGTTGAAGACTCAGATGAATCCAAGGGATGTTAGGAAGTATTTCTTCAGTCATAGAGTAGTCAGGCCGTGGAATAGCCTAGAAAGTGACGTAGTGGAGGCGGGAACCATACATAGTTTTAAGGCGAGGTATGATAGAGCTCATGGGGCAGGAAGAGAGAGGACCTAGTAGCAATCAGCGAAGAGGCGGGGCCAGGAGCTGTGACTCGACCCCTGCAACCACAAATAGGTGAGTACAAATAGGTGAGTACACACACACACACAGTATATTACTATCATCATCACAGCCACCCTACCAGCACCAGCCATGACCTCACCACTAGATAATTACAATAATAATAATAATAATAATGTAAGTATCATGCAATTATAAATTAAGGAGAACAAGGAGCAGCGGACCGACAGTAGCTTGAGAGGATCAGACATAACGGTATTGGCAAGCACAATTGAGAGGGTGGCAGGCAGGCAGGTCACTGGGCATTCTGGTAGTGGGTAGGCGACAGGCAGACCGGTGGATATGCAGGCAAACCGATGGGCTGGCTGTTTGAATTTACACTTCGTCAACCTGGCTTAGACAACCTGACCCAAATTGCACTACTGGCAAGCATAACTGACCTGTGGTAGGCAGGTGAGCAAGCGAGCAGCCAAGTCAATTCTTTTAGATGAAGAAGCAGACAGGGAAGATGTTGCACCAAAACATAAGAGACAGGAATACCATACTAACATAAACAGTCTGATAGATCAAAGGTGGCGAGTTCTGGGCTGAAGGTCGTGAGGGAGCTTACTGTTGTTGTTTGGTGTGGGTGAGTCAGGCTAACCAGGAGGGAGAGAGAGACTGATGGAGGGGCAGAGGGTGGGGCTCCGAGTGAAGAAGGGGACACGGAAGGAGAGTGACGGCTTCCTGTTGACGGGTGAGGGGAGACTAGTGATGGGTGAGGGAAGACTAGTGATGGGTGAGGGGAGACTGGTGACGCGTGAGAGGCGTGAAGGAGAACAAGGAGGGAGCAGATGTCGTCTTGGTCTACGCCACGACACTCAATCACGGGCTAATGTGTGTGAGAGGGGCAGTGGGAGGGAGAAGGCTACCACCACCAGATAACATCACAAGCAAGGGAGAATGGAGGTGATCTCATGTCTCTCTCCATCCCTCACTCCAAGCTTCCTTCCCACCACCACAAACACACTCTGGAGACATTTACCAGTGACTGGGAGAGAGACTCAACAGTGACCAATGTATAATATATGCAGGTTGTTGAACCCAGGATTCCCTAAAACTAATCAAGTATTCTCCACTAAACCCTGCTATAGTGGTCATTGTTGATGAATTGTCTTTCACATTACCTTCAAAGAAACTTTAAACCTCTCAGGTAATTTATATCTCACCTCTTTTGCTCCATGACGAGTTCACATTGTACCTTAATAAGCCAAGAGAACAAATTGTGCGTGATGTGTATGATCACAAGATTTTTACTTAGTACCTACATGGCCCTTTCGGGTTTAGGGCTTATTTTTATTATATAATTTTTATTATTAGTAATAGCAGTAGTAGTGCTTCCCTCATTGGCTAGGTATTATACAGTTCATAAGTCTGCCTGAATATCTGTAGTTCCAGCTATGAGGTACCACTCTGTACCAGTTTCTACCTCAAGCCTGTTGTACCACCAGCCTCTGCTTACTTCACTAGTTGTGAAGGTTTTCGTTACCACTCGTTGCAGTCACCTTCACTTGGGGAACTAGCAGTTTGGGAGGGTGATTTAACTCATTCTTTTTGCTCCTCGTTGTTTTGAAACCTTGAGTGTCGTCATGACGTAACTTAAGTGTCATCATACAATAAACCTGAGTATCATTATGGCAGAGACCAGGGTGTCGTCATGACAGTAACCTGTCATCGCGCTACCGTCTTGGGAGTCATCATGAAAGTGACATGGATGCCAGTACTAGACTGTTTCGCACATAGGTATTGTACAAAAGATATAATTGTGATTGATCATTGTGTGATAGTGGTGAGTGCGGTTGCAGTACATGTTATGTAATGTATCCCAGTATATTAATGGGTGGTGGCGAGTGTGTTACTCTGGATGTAGTGGTGGATGGATGTATTGCTGTGGGTGTAGGGATGGCACTGTGGCACTCTGGGTCTTGTAGTGGCGTGAACGTGTCAAATGGGCATATGTTGAAGGTATGCGCGTCGTGGCATGTGTAAATGGTGCGGGAAGACTTGTGGACGAGTGTCAGGTGTGGGAGGTCGGCAGGAGCACTGGACGACGGGTGTGAAGAATCATTTAACTTGAACAATGATGTGAGAAATCAGATTCTCTGCTGTCATCGGTGAAAGCAAAATACAATCAAGACAAAGAGAAGGATAATGGGAATGGAGAGGGAGAAAATTGAGGAGTTAGTGTTTCTATTAATGCAAATACTTCTAATTACAACAAAAACAAGGCCATCTTAATGGCATAATTATAAAAGAAAGCGCAGAAGATCGGTTTACCCTTGGGAGGCAGCCTTCCATTTATATACATTCATTATCACTCATATATGTGCCAGTTATTCTTGGGTGCTAACGTGTTCCACTTGTCTCTTATACTGTATGTGAATTGTTGGCATCTGCCTTATTGTTAAATGTTAACTTTTATAATTGGAATCCCTTCTTTCCAGTTCTTTCTTGAATTTATGTATTCAGATCCCTATTAATAAAACCTTTGATCATCTGCCATTTCTACGGTTTTTGTCATGCCGCGCCGCACTCTACGCCTTACAATGGTATAAACCTTGGTAATAAATACCGACAAGTTGGTTTAGAAAGACACGTAAGCAAACACTATGACATATTTATTAGAAAACGTTTCGGTCCTGGGACCTTGATCACTTCTAACGGTTAGAAATGATCAAGGTCCCAGGACCGAAACGTTTTCTAATAAATATGTCATAGTGTTTGCTTACGTGTCTTTCTAAACCAACGCCTTACAATACAATGGATATTGAAGCCTTTTAGTATCTTCTTAAGTAAGTTTTGTATACATTGTATTAGGTTATTCTTCTCTATGCTTTCAAGAGAATTACCTCCCTTGTGTTGGGTGGCTAAACAACACTTAAAAAGGGCTGTATTTTTATTGTTTAAAGTAATGTAATTGTTATATATATGTGTTGCAGGTTTAAGGACTCATGTAGTCCATACCTTTGACGAGTTACGAGAGTTTGTCTAAGCATTAAGCCTAACATACCAATCCAAGTGAGTTTTCAGAAGATTAGATTTTAGATTTTGCCACCGAAGTGGCTAGTTTATTGTGCACCCCATATCCATCCTGTGGACGGTAGCGCGAGAGCATGTGGATACACAAAAGGCCCAGGAACTAGGCCCCAACGGGTTAACAGGAATACATATGGATTTATATCTACATATCTATAGTTCACTTATCTGTTACAAGCAAATTTAGGAAATTTGCTTAGTATATCTGGTATCTTATTTTCATTAATAAGATATCTTGACATGTCACATAGGTTATTATACTGTCTGTCTCTGTATTCCTCAATAAGTGGACAATTAAGCACATAGTGTTCAAGAGAGTGACCATATGCCTGATCACATAATTTACATTTAGTTTTCAGAAGGCAGTGTAAAGTCGAAAGAAATTTGGGTTTCCCTGGCAGACAGGTACCGATCTTCTTGAAAATATTTGTTCAACTCTAGTGGAGGCATAATAAAACTGGTTTTCTATTTGGCCCAATAAAGATAAATTGTATACCTCTTTATTATAATGTAATGAATGTAACATAACATTTTAACTTATTGAACATGAAATTTCTTGTATTTAAGTTCTCTTTCCTGGCTTTCATATTTTTGGCGTCTTGAATATGTGAGCCAACACCACGGGTAGCTGACCTCACCCTTAATCCAGCCCTCCATTTGTCTTGTTACTAAAACATATAACCCTTCAGGGCTGGGGGGTTTAATACCAGATGGTTCTAGATCCAAGGAACTGGATCAAATCTGATTATTTCCCCTTATCTTCTCATGTCTTAGAGAGAGAGAGAGAGAGAGAGAGAGAGAGAGAGAGAGAGAGGCAGGAAAGGGAGTGGAAGGAATGATGGATGTACAGTATGTAGGGAAGAAGGGTGACTGGATGGAGAGTGAACAAAAACAAGCCTCCACTTGGCTGCATACAGTATACAGCGTAGCGGCTTAAGGCGTCATACTCATAACATCAACAAAAACTTGGGGCTCTAAGCAGCCTTCTTGCACCGCAAAAAAAAAGTGACGTTACCCTCTCTTGTCGCTGAATATACGGCACAGCACGGTTATATCTTCACGTGAATGACCTTGTTAGCAATGTGCAGACTAGCAGCCCTCACGTCCAGGTCAGCACAAGCCAATCAGTGCCTTGTGTGACGGACAATAGTGGCGATGTTTGTGTGCGCCTCTGTGAGCGCTTGAGAAAGATTTACCTGTGATAACATTTAATTAACTGAACCTACAGTGATAATTTTTCACCCTTACGCAAGGAGATATACCTGGTCTTGTCTGTAATTATAGGGAAGGTAGAAGACGCAACCGCAAACGCACCGCAATTACTATTATAAGTACTCTCTCTTTCCGCCTGTACAATGCAAGAAAATAATAGTATGTACTTAACGAGTTTTCTGTCATCTGCCTTCCCCACATATTCTCACATAATGTCATTTATTGTTAATATTAATATTGACACATCAATGTTAACGCCATTTTCTCTTTATTTTCAGGCTGAGCTGGAACGCGAGTACGCCGAAGATGTCTTGCGATACAGCACCTCAGAGTTTTTCGTTTAGCATGTCAGAGGCGAAATTATACTATTTCAGTGCCGGATAGCCTTGAGAAAATATATCATTGTTAGATAGTTATCACTCGGGGCACTGAGACATGCGACATGGAGAAACAGGCCGACGCCCTCTAGTCTCGCTTATTAGGCTACTTACTCTGTATCTTAGTGGGTTGTGAACTGGACATTTACACTATTTATATACCCGTACCTTAACTCCACCTCGTAGCGTCTTATCTGTGGATTATTTTTTGCATATTGTGGTGAAATTCTCTTTTATTTTTTTTGCCGTACCCATATTACAAGCCTGTATTATTGTTTCTTGGCAACATTATGTCGTGGCGTATTTTATGATTAACATTCCAGTCGTGCTTTTAAATATTTTGGTAAACAGTATAATATAGTTTATGTACATGATAAAATTTTGGGTATAACCATTTTTTTTTCAAATCTTAATAAAATTGGGATGGCACTTACCCCAAAATCCAAACTTGTCTAAATAAAATATATCAGGATTTAGGCTTGAAGTCGGTATAAAAATGCATTATCTAGTTATTGATCGGAATCCAACAATTATAAGTTTATTAACTACCGAATATTTGTAAACTGGAAAAATTGTACTTATAGCCTAAGCTTAAAAGATACCAAGGTACAGTCATTAACGACTGAAGCCGTTCAGAAGAGGCAAACAAAGTTATTTGACGGAAAAAATATATAATTCTAATAATAAATCGATAAATTGACCCCTACAATCTAAAATAATCCCAACCTTCTAAGTGGGATACGCCAGTGTTGTAAGTTTGAAGCTGATGAGAATAGGCTTTAAGTTATTGCACTGACTCAAAAAAAGGAATAAGTCTGTATAAAATTAACCAGATGGCACTAAATCAGCGCCGAAAAATTGAAACCGACCAGATTTGGCTTTTCCAAGTTGTAAACGAAAACTTTAGAGATAAGAAGAGACGAATTCTGTGAAGCAGCTTTTACACAGCGTAATATAAAGAAAATAAGTCCTCCTCACATTAATTATATACTTATCTTAAATATCATTGTAATATCTCGTAGTAAAAACGGCTCGACCGTAAAGCTTGAGGTAATAAAATTGTGAGAGTGGTAAGAAGTGTTGTAAACACGGTGTACATTCATACAGAGGGTGTTGTATAGACAATTACACATGTTAACCTTGCCATATCTACATGAGTCTGGAGCATAGTAACCTGGTTGATATACATATACCTGTCCGACACATTAATTTGATGCAGAGCTTGATAAGGTGGCGGTGTTGCTGCAGCAGCCATAAGCCTCGCCAGAGTACACACAAGAGGACAGATGAAAACCCATAGATAAACCCTTCAGGTACTGCTTTGACCATTATACTGAAGACTATCCTTTCTGCTCTGCAGCGGACATATATATATATATATATATATATATATATATATTATATATATATATATATATATATATATATATATATATATATATATTTACACACACATATACATACATACATCGCAGCCAGCAGGATTCGAACTCTCTACAGGAAGACTGGCAAAATTCCCAAGTGACGCTCTTCACCACTCGGCCACAAATGCTTGAAAATCTGGGCAGCCTGGTTTACAAGCCATGTTTGTTTTCCCAGCCCGGGCACACTGGGCCTCAAGCATGGTTTCAAGCTATTTTATTCTGTACGAATCCTGCTGACTACGATCTTTTTCTGTATATACCCGCCTGTTTCTGCGTGGTGCATTGATTATATATATCGATATATATATATATATATATATATATATATATATATATATATATATATATATATATATATATATATAATATATATATATGAGTTCCAACGCCGGGCTCCGGGGATAGAAGAGCTCGAAATCCATCAAAGGTAAAGATACCATTTGACTTATTTTACTTCGCAGGTGAAAAAAAAAAAACGAAACGTGCGGTACCTACGCGTAAGTGAACTAAGTACTACGTCACGTGCGCATTGTGTCACATACGTACTGCGTCATCTACGCACTGTGTCATCTAAGTACGAACTACCATTAGATTTGTGAACAAAAATAAATCTTTCAGACATTAGTAAACTTACAAATATGCACAGTGGCAAAGCGTCCTTATTGCTTTAGAAGATAAACGAAAAGTTCGATTTGCTTTAAAGGTTAACAAGATAAGTGCGGTTTGAAACGTGCTGGAAATATAACAAAGTTATAGCCAGTAAAGAAGATGGCCAGCAGCTGGAGGGTTATAGGAGGCGTCGTCTGCTATGTGGTTGTCTGCCTCGCCGTCGTCACTCCAGCAGCTGCGGAAGGTATGTTGCTTTTATTCTAGTTTTTTATAACATTACAGCTCTAGGTTTTCCCTTGAGTGTCAGCTACACGGTGAGTGTTTGTAAGGTGAGGGGCTTCCCTTCCAAGGGACACGACCTTCGTGTATGTTCATAGGTGGTGGTGGTTCCGTCTTTATTCAACTTCTCTGTTCTTCTCTACCATCTACCCTATATCATTCTCGTTATTTTTAGTTTTGTTCCACATTTTACTTACATGGCACAGTATTTTATCGCAATAAGAGCATCTGCATGGGAGCGACAGTGTGATTTGAAGGATGAGAAAAAGCTTACGTGTGGGATCCAGGAAATTGTTTCATTCATGGAGGAGGAGACGCTGAACCTGCATGTGTTATACAACGCCAGTCAGACTTGGAGAAAAGGCCAGAAAAATAGGAAGAAATCAAGAGTCAATCCAAGGAACGGACGGGTAACTTGGATTTGGAAATTCTTCACCGGAATCAAGGGACTTCGTTTGTGTGATGAAAATGGTTCAGAAAACCGACAAGTTGAAGAATGAGACACTTGTACAACAGTGTGGGTCACAACTTTTATATAATCACACTGAAGGGCTCTTGATAAAAGATACTGGAGTACCTTCTCCTTGGATTAAAATTTATTACTTTGCATTCCCCAGACGCTGTGGCTCCAACGGGTTTAGCGCTCTATTATAACTGTTTATGCTGAGTTTTTTTTTTTTAATTACCAGTCCGTTCATTAATGAGTAAGTGATAATAGTGATGTTTGGAATTGGTGATGGCTGCTCGTCTTGTGATGTAACAGGTGTCATCAGGTTGGTTAGGAAGTCAGTAAGGCTACCGTCAAGGTTCCCGTGTTGAAGACTTCTGCAGCAACAAGTGGGACCAGGCCGGGCAAGGACACATGACTCACAGGCTTCAGAATTCAAAGAAAGTGCTGGGGAGGGGGGGGGGAGAGTGTAGATGAAGACACATGCACAGTTCAACACATTTATTGGGGAAACGTTTCGCCACAAGTGGCGTCTTCGTTCGTGAAGAAGCCATTTGTGGCGAAACGTGCCCTAAATAAATGTCTTGAACTGTGCATATGCCTTTATCTACACACTGTCGTTATCACCGGAGAGGCGGGGCCAGGAGCTGTGACTTGACCCCTACAAGCACAAATAGATAAGTACCGTACCTCTCCAGTCGTTTGTTAGTGTGTTTCATACTTTAGTTGTGCCTGTCTGTCTCTCTCTCTCTCTCTCTCTCTCTCTCTCTCTCTCTCTCTCTCTCTCTCTCTCTCTCTCTCTCTCTCTCTCTCTCTCTCTCTCTCTCTCTCTCTTTCTCTCTCTTTCTCTCCTTTATTTGTATTTTCCCTTCCCTGCTGGCTGCCGTCGCTCCGTCTCATCACTGAGAACAAAAACATTTGAGAGCGGCTAATTTCCCCGTGTATGAAGTAACGTGACTCCAGCTGCCCCTCTGTCTGTCCCTTTCCACTCTCCCTGTCTGCTTCTGCTCCCCTCTCACTGTCTGCCTCTGCCCTTTCCGCTGATCTGCCTCCTGCTGCCTGCCACTGCACCCTTCTCTGGCTGTGTTTGCCTCCGCCCCTTCCTGGCTGTGTCTGCCACAACTCTTCCCTGGCTGTCTGACGCCACCCTTCCCCGACTGTCTGCCACTACCCCTCCCCGATGTGCCACTACCCCTCCCCGACTGTCTGCCACTACCCCTCCCCGACTGTCTGCCACTACCCCTCCCCGACTGTCTGCCACTACCCTCCCCGACTGTGCCACTACCCCTCCCCGACTGTCTGCCACTAACCCTCCTCGACTGCCTGCCACTACCCCTCCCCGACTGTCTGCCACTACCCCTCCCCGACTGCCTGCCACTCCGGCTGTCTGCTACAACCCCAACGGGCTGTCTGCCACTCCCCCTCCCCGGCACTGCCACTTCCTCTACCCTGCTCTCTGCCACTGCCTCCCTCTACACGGGAGCTACACTTCCCTTTTTTTACCTCCTAAATCACAAGTTATGACTCACGTCTCGTATCACATGATGGCTATACATACATTCCCTTCGAGGAAGGTGCCATGATGCTCGTCATGGGCTCTTGATCCAAGGAATTGTAGCTACCTTCCCTTTGGTTTATACCTGATTACCACCCATTTCCTACGCACAATAGGACCAATAATAGTAATAATAGTAAAAATAACAGGTATAATAGTAATAATAATGACCACTTATGGATGAGCGCTTTCCATGTATATAATAATAGCAATAATAATATTCTTAAATTAATGAGGCCATAGGCCTAAAGTGTAATAGGCATACAGGATTTGACTAAATAGTTGAATTGTACAAGCGTCTGGTGTTCCGTCTCCCAGCGGATTCCATGATGTTGGCGTGTCATCTGTCTCCCTTTTATGTGGGAGTCTTGCGGACATTTAGGTGTTTGGGGGAATTCCGCTGGATGTGGGTGGCCACGGCTGTGGTGTGGTAGTGGTGGTCGTGTTCTCACTGTGGGCGCAAGACGACGTGTTCGTATATCGTTTTATCTGTAAGATACAAGACAGTTCTCCGGTGGCCTCGGGATATTCCGTAGTCCTCGTCTGGATTCCTTCTGTCTCCGTTTGTAGATTGCTGTGTCTTTTGTCCTTCGTCCACTGGTATGTGTGTCATTAGTATATAACAGTGGTTCCCGACCTTTTCACCATCAAGGGCCCCTTTTATTTAATTTAATTTTCCCATGGACCCCAGGTTTTTGAAAAGGTCTGTCTACTCAACAAGCCGATTTTTATTAACTAACAACTAACTCGTTTTCCCAGTTTCACCTCTCAGTTGAAAGACTTCCGTAACTGAGTTTGTATTTAAATAAATGCCAGTATTAAGAAACTTTCCTGTTCAACGAAATAGTTCTTACTGCCTTGAAATTTTGAATTTGACTCACGGACCCCCAGTACTACCTTTGGGGACCACAGGTTGGGAACTGCTGGTATATAATAGTAATAATAACTAATAATAATAGTGGATAATAGTGAGTGATCAATGAGGCTGTTGTTGCCTCTGACCCCTCAAGCCTACATTTGTTAGCCATCAGAAGGTGGCTGACGCCAGCACCAAGTTCTCCATCGCCACCACAAGCAGTTTCCGCCGCTGCTCAGGAAAATTAGCTCTTGGGAAAACAACGTCGAGATACCTGACAAGGCTAAAATAAACAACCGCCCCGTTCTTCAAGTTGGAACAAAAACAACTGGTAGCTCCTGAATCCGCACCCTAACCAAACTAGCCGCCAGATTTTTCATTTAGATATACCTAATGGGTAGATCTAGGAGGCGCCGAGGAAGCGGGAAGGAAAAAGGAAGATAAGTGCCGAGAAGTGAAGAGAGGCGGGTGCCATCACCACCAGTTGTTGCTGTCACTGATGGCTTTACTGCTGGCTCCACTCTGCTGTCTCCCTTACTCTGTCTCTAGTTGTCTCTCTTCTTCACCCTGTTTCCTTTATCCCTTACCCTCCGTCTCTTATCTCAGTACTTACCCTGTGTCTTGTCCCCCCTCACCCTATCTCTTGTCCCCCCTCACCCTGTCTCTTTTTTTCTCTTATCCTGTCTCCTGTCCTCCTCACCCTGTCTCTTGGCCCCCTCACCATTTGTTTTTTTACTGTCTCATCACCCTCTCGTTGTTTCCATCATCCTTCCTTCTGCATAGGAATATAATTGAGGAGCACAGCAGTAGGTCTGCTAGCCCATGTTAGGAAAGTCTTCAAATTGAATCCTTTTCACTCGCAGTATACATAAGGACAACCTATATTTAGAGCCACCCAAAGTGTTAGCTTGAATGATTCTACTTGTAAGATTGTACTATTACTTTATAACTTTACTGTTAAACCAGTATTTTCCTATATTCTCTCTAAATTTAAATTTATTCATTTTGATTAATTGTTCCGAGTCTTTCTTGTTTAAAGGAACAACGGATGAGACGCATAATCCTCAGATTCTGAAACGAGGCCGTGAGATTGAGAATTTTTCCGTCATCGGCTGAACTATATCCTTCCTATTTCTTTTATAAGGTACTCTTGGTATATTATATCGTCTTTATTTATAGCTGTCTTTAACTTGTATACCTCAGCCTCATCATTCCACGTCTTTAAAGAGAGCGAAGGTTCACGGTTCTCAGTCTATCTTCGTATGTAAGATTGTACAGTGGATTGTTTTAAACATCCTTCTCTGTATATGCTCCAGTGCATTCATTCAGTAGCATAGGTACAATAAGTGAGACATAAAATTTACTTACTAATAATGTTTATAAGCTATAGGATAACCTTTGGACTCATATTACTTATATTTCTTGATATAAATCCAGATTATATATTAGCTGTATCACGTACCCTTAGTCGCTGCCTCAGATTTCTGCTTATAACGAGGCTCTAGTCTGTTTCACATTCTGTGTGGACAAACTTTAAATTAAATAGGTAAAAGTGTGAGTGTTATTATCATTCCCATTAGAAATCTGCACTACTGGCCACACGCAGTTCAACATACGAACTGCAGCCCTGCTGATAGGGCACTGATTTAGGGATCTGCTCAAAGCTGTTGAACAGTCTTGGGCCCCGTACACTTATGTTTTCTTGTAGTGTACTCAAGCCACCCCGTCTGCCTAGTCTTTTGCTTTCGTAGGGAGTGATTTCTGTGTGCAGATTTGGGACCATTCCCATAGTGTCTCATTGTCTCTTGTTTTCTATATCCTGTGTCGTGTTTTCCTCCTCTGTCTCTTACTGTTATGAAGACAATTACGAAAGAATTTTTAGCGTCAAGACGAATTCTCTGATTAAATTACTTAATTACAAGAGAGAAGAGTTTTTATCTCACATTTTAGGTTATTCTAATCCCCTTGCTCCCCCTCCCTGGCCCAGTTCCTTTTCCCCAGTTCCTGGCGGAAACATAGCTTTTGTTCCCAAAGTGTAATTATCATAGAAAGTAGGACAGCAGCGCACTGCGGGTGTAAGTTGCATTAATCTAAGTTTGTATTAAA